GTTAAGAATTGGAAGATGCCTTTTCACTAGCTCATTTATAAGATGGCTCTTCAAGTGAATGATAATTGATAAATATGAGACTTCTACTAGTGACTTAATATTTAGAGTTAAATTTTGAGTGATTACTTTGCAAAAATCAATAAGGTATATTCAAATACAAGGAATCATTGCTTCTTTCTTGCCTCTGCTCTGTGGGGCCCTGAAGTTTGTGCTTCCTGATCCTCACTGAGGTTTTGGGCTGAGTGAGATTTGGGGTTTGGGGAGGATAGGGCAGGCAGGGATAGAACAGGATTTGGTTATCTAGCTTCTGCAAGAGATACTAGATATATATATTGAACATAAAATTTTAAAAAAGGTCAGTAAAGAATGTAATAAAAATGTACAAACCAATAATCAGATAAAATAAATGATAGAATAGGTTATCTTAGTAAAACAAATGCTGAATATATATTTTTCCTGGAAGTCTGTGAGTCCTGAGTTTATTGGCTATTGCCAGCTTTTAGGGACTCTTGCTGTGCTTTTGATATTCACAGCAATACAACATTTTAAGATGCACCTGAAATGTTCATCGGCACAGCAGGAGAATATAACCCGGCTGGCCCAAATCATTTGGCATCTATTCTATGCTCAAATTACCATGGTTATTATGAATGTGAGGTGATAATTTGTGCTTGAGTTTTGTCCAGGGGCCCAGTCATCCAGTTCTTTTTTTTTTTTTTTAAGTCATGTTTTATAACATTGTTGTAGTAAATAGACCAGGTGTTGTTTCATAGTAGCTGCATTCTATTCTCCAAACACTGAAGCAAAAATTGAAGCAAAACAAAAGCCATCACACTTCTGGCTGTGCTGTCTTCCTGAGCACAGTGATTGTGTCCAAGTGAAAGAGAAAGATGAACAGTTTAGGATCTGGGGACCTCTGGAGCCAAGAAATTTCAGAGCACCTAGTCATTGCTATCACTGGGAGTGTGGGATTTTTAACTTAGAGGGAAAGTTTGAAAAGTCTGCTGCTTTCCTGCTTCCTCTTGTTCTCCCAATCAGAAATAATCCGTTTACACCTACCCTGTGCATAACATGTGGAGAAACTTAGGCACTGATAGGAGATACTATCATTAGTTCTGATCCTCTTCATAATCTTCTGCTTTTATGGGAGGAGAGCTATGGTTAGAGGAAGATAGCAAAATGAAAAATAATATCAGTCAGCCAGGATTTATTAGAAAACAGGAGAAAACTTAATATAGGGACAATTAACTGTATTTATCCCCTAGAAAACAAAACCAACGAATCATTTGTGTAAATCAAAATTTCTAAACATTTTAGAGGAATTGAATCATGGGAAACTATGTTTTGAAAGAAGTTACAGACATGGATAGACAAGGAGTGAAGCAATAGTCAAGGCAGGAGAAATTATAAGTACAAAAACTTAAAGAGGAAATGAAACATATATATTGACTATGAAAGACATGAAATAGATATACCAAAATATAAAGGTTGGCACTGATAGAACTAAATTTTAAATCTTGCTGCTAAAATAATAACCATTGTCAAACTGATAGTCAATCTCAATAATGTAAGGGTTATGATTTATTTATTTATTTATTTATTATGAGGTTCTGAAATAGACTGAGAATGGGATGATCCCTTTCTCAGGCTGAATTGACAGATGTGAGTAATATGCAACAAGCAGGGAACAAAGCTTTTAATGTTTGAGTGTTGGAGGACATTTCATAACCACATTATATCAAGTAGTTCTCAAAGTGAGGTCCCTGAACTAGTGGACTCTATACCACCTGTGAATTTATTTTTAAAATGCCAATTTTCTTGGACCTACTGAATCAGAAACTCTGAAGTGGACCCCAGAAACCTGTGTTTTAACAAGTCCTCCAGGTGATTCTCTAAGTGCAATACCTCGTACAGTGCTTGAATACAGAAGGAAACGTGAACTGTATTCTTAAAAGCACTGCCTTCAGATTTTTTTCCAATGTAAAAGTGCTCTAGAAAATAGAAAGTGCATAAATTTCTCCTCTAAACTTCTTTTTCTCAATACTTTATAATGCTCTGATTAATTCTAAGAGAAAAAATAATCAGGTGATGCTAGGCCTTCAGCACATACTGATGTCCCTTTAGGGTAAGGGAAACTTTAGCTGGGCTCTGGTCTGAAGATACTAGCTGTAGGAGTTCCCAGCTGGGGTGCATGCAGCTCAGTACCACTCCCTGCCCTGGATACTCAGATCCAGGGATAATGTTCTTTAAACCAATTCTTAACTTGATATCCAGAAGTGTAGTTATTTTCCAGAGCTTCAGAAACCTAATTATTAATAATGTCCAAAACAAAAATATAGTTTGTAAAAATATAGCAATATGTTAGCAAACATTCATTAAGTGCACAGAGAAATCTGGGAGTCAAATAAAGATGGCACACCACACTAATGGGGACAAGTAGAAAAAGAAAGACCTTGATCTCTAAATATAAGATAAGCTGAAAGGTGGCTTTTTGACAAAAGGAGAGTGAGAGTCATGGCAATGGACAAAAGGCAGATGAGAGGAATTGCAGTCAGAGATGAGGCAGAAAGTTATTCCCCATGAAGAAAGAAGACATAGACCACTTAATCATTGCTAGTTTAAGTATTACAGTAAAAATTGATCAATTGATCAATATATGACCTTTACAGAAGATGAACTAAGACTTGCCATAAACATATTGTCATGTATAACCATAAAACAGATACCTTTGTATTACTAGTAACTTACATTTTGAATTTCCATGCACTATATATATATACTGTTATAAGTATTCTCATTTGATTCTCACAACAACCCTATGAAATATACACTATTATTATCATCTCTGATTAAGAGATAGAGAAACTGAGATTCCTAAGAGGAAAGTTACATAGCTCATCAGTCAGTCACTAGATTTGGAGCTCAGACAGTATTACTCCAAAATCTCCCCTATTTACTTCTCAGCTATAAACAAAAGAAATCCCTCAAGCTCTTAGGTCTTGATATGATGACTTGATATTATTCTATATGCTACCACCATTTTAAAATAATCCCCTTGTTGTTGTTTTCTGATTATACCTGTAATAAATGATCATTGTATCCAATTAAGAATATTTTAAAAGTATGTAGAAAATAAAGGTCACTCTTGGGCCCATTACCCAGAGATTGCTGATGTTCTCAAACACTATTATATGTTCTTGTGCTTGGTGCCTCAAATCTGTCTAGAATGTCCTATAACATGCAATCAGCTCCTGCCCAGACACTGATTCACTGGGTCTGGGTGGAGTCAAGGCTTCTGTATTTTAATAAGTACCTCTTCTGTAGTGAAATAGTTTAAGCCTAGTTCTGAAACACTGACATATGCCATGTTTTAAAATATCTCTATGCAGAATATCCTGAATCCCATTTATATCTGGATTCTATAGGAACTTTTTTAAAAATATTTTTTAGTTATAGATGGACACATATCTTTATTTTGTTTATTTATTTTTATGTTGTGCTTAGGATTGAACCTAGTCCCTCACATGTCTGAGGTAGACACTCTGCCACTGAGCCACAATCCCAGCCCCAGCAACTTTCTATCTACAGAGAAGTGGTTTTCAAACTTTAGCATTCATTGGAATCACCTAGATTTGTTAAAACAGTTGACAGAGTCTCTGATTCATCAGGGCTGGGATGGAGCCCAAGAATTTGCATTTTTAACAAGTTATCAGGTGCTGCTGGCGCTCCTGGCGCACAGACTACAAGAACCACTATAATAAAAAGTCCTTCCAAATGAGAGCTCCTGGTAGAAAGATATTTATCTTGTGGTCTTTGGAAATAACCCTTAAAATTCAATTGCCAGAGCCTGACCTTTACAAAATCATTTAGAAACAAATGCAGTGGCATATAGTACCACAGTTAGTATCATTCCTTTGTCAGGAACTCCATATATGAAAACTCTATTCAGTTGTTTCCATGTCTCTATGACAATTAAAGTGTAAGAGAAAAGAATAGCTATTGACATTGTTGCTGTAAGTCTTAAGTGTCCAGATGGTTGTTGGTAGCAGTGGAAGGGACAGTGGGATAAGGTCAGTTACATCTAGTAACAGGCATAACACCTATCATACAAGTCTAATGTGTGACATTTCTTAAGTAGGACAAATTCCAGAAGAGGATGTTGATGCTACTGGCAATTTTTATGAATTATACATGATACACTATTTTAAAATTCAGCAGACTACTGCCATTCACCCTCTATAATAAAAGATATTGTATGAAAAGTGAAGTTCTGGGTGAGTAAACATGAGATGCTACCAATGTAATGGATCTTAAGCACACCTTTCTTTGCTCTCTGACACCTGCCAGAAGACAAGCAAGCTTTTAAAAGTAGGATTGACCTTTGGAATCCCAGCATCAGCTTTCCTGAACTAGATACCTCACTACTGTTCATCAGTGCTTCAAAACCAGCAAGAAATTTCTAAAATAAATCTCTACTTTTTTACTGGCTTTTGACTTTAATGCCTAGATTCTGGGGTAATATGAATGTGTAACTATATTAGGCATTCCACCTTTACCTGTCAATCACTAGAAACATAAAAGGCCTACCTTCAGACAATGCAATTCTCCCTAAAATTTTTAATTTTAAAATCAGTAATTTTCATTATGCCTAGAAACTGCTAAAGTCATCTAGGAAAACTCATTTATTTACTATTTAGTCAAATATCTATTGAACACTTCCTACATTCAAAATATACTATAGATTCAGTGAGTAGAACAATGAAAAATGTGCATGCACACATACACATATGCAAATACAGTGTCTTGACCCTCAAAAAACTTACATTGAGTAATAATGAGGTCTGTCTGAGTTTTGGTGTTCTAGAACCTTGTTACGTGAAGAACCAGGAGAAAGGCCTAACTTAGAAAGGCACAGTCTTAGGCTTCATCCCAGATGTCCTGAGACAGAACCTGCATTTTATTTTATGAGAATCTCTTCTCTAGAAAACAGAGCCTGAAGCAAAGATTGAAATGCTGTTTTTATTTGAGAGTATAGGTAAGACAAGGAAAGCTGTAGACCAATGAGATACCGTGCTGGCTATGACTTCAAAATGTGTCTGGAAAGGAATGAGTCTGAATGACAGCAGTGCATTCAGCAGGTGGGTCTGTCCAATATGTGGAACTTTCTCTGCAGACAGTTTAGAAGATCCATACCTTGTTGCCTCCTGATTCCTGCTTTCTGATGATGGAGTTCCACATCACTAGGAGGTGCTACCTCTTTTCTTCTGGCTTATAGTATCTAAGTCTGAAAGTGTAGAGGTGGGTGCAAACCAAGAAAGAGAAAAAGAAGAAAGCAATTAAGAGTTTCTGAAAACTTACAAAGTTTGTGTCTCAAGATAATATGTGTGTAAAGTTCCATCCAGAGAAATGAATAGAAGTGAACAGAAATGGGATCTGTTTGTCAGCAGAAACACAGAAAATTTTCTTCCAGAAAAGGTAAAATTCACCTTAGGAATGTGAATGTTAAATTAGAAATTGTCACAACTGGAAGTTTCTGCAGTCTTCAATGTTCGATAGTATTCTCTGACTCCTGTGCTCACATCCTCATTCTTGGATATGTCAGAAATGAGGTCCAGCTGTAACCAAATAATCTGGGTCAGGAAGTCTAGATAAGAAAATGTTGAGAAATATCAAAGAAGAAATGACAAATCCTAGAGTGAGGCAGAACCAAGACTCAGGTGAAACCATAGCACCTACTCTCCCAGATTGTACCCTCCTTGAGTGCTACCACTGTGAGACATTCTCATTTGGATCATCCAACTTTTGCTCAGTATGAAGTTTTCAGAAAGCATGAAACTGCAATAGATATCCAAATGCCATGAGTTGCTATCCCCAAGCAATAAAAATATAGATTTTCATTTTTTATAATTTTCTGGTTCAAAACTCCTAATGAGAAAGTGCTGCTGCTTTTATAATGAGAACCTCTTCAGTTATTTTTATAAAATAATATATTGTGTCAAGGAAACTCTTGTAGAACAGAATAAGGAAAAATTAGAATGACATGTAGCCATTAAATTTTAAATCATTTGCATATTTTATAGATACTCAGTAAATCTTCAAAACTCTAGATTTCCACAGCTCCTAAAAACATAAAGGAGCAAACACTCTTTTTTCAGAGCAAAAGAGAAATGTGTGAAGGCCAGAAAGCAGAAGCTGTGCTTTCTGAAGGTAATATTGTGCTGACAAATATCTACTGAAGCATTTCAAGAATGTCCATGATTTCTTTGAGCTGGTCAAACACAGAAACTACTATGATACCACCCTCCAGTAATGAGAAGGGCCTTTAACAATGTCAGTGTGTGGTGTTGGTCAGCTCTAAATTCTAGACACCATTTAAGGAGCTCATGTCACAGGGCACTCTTAACCTTTTTTATGTGTTTTTCTCTGAACAAAGAGGGTCCTTTTCAAATTCTACTTAAAATTCTAGTCTCAACCTATATATCCTACAACTAACAGCAGTGTTTTCCATTAGTTGACCATCTAATCAACTCTGATCAACATGTAAAAAAGAACTTTGTATAAATGTTAACAGATATGGCTAGTTTATTTCTACAAATGTAGAAACAGTTATTCCATATGTACTTCTTATGTCATTACTAAAATAATTATAATTTTTATTCAGATTTACATAGTAGTGTAATCTTATTTTCCAAAGGTGGTTTATAAAGCATTTCAGAATTCCTTGGTATTCTGAAAAATCCTCTTCACCTGGATATTAATGTTCTCTTCATAAGAGAACATAACCTCTTTCATAGGCCTCAGGATAAAATCTCTGTGGAAAATAAAGGGAAGTTAACTTTCTCATTGTGTCTTCTGCTGTCTTTAGGACCTACCTAAAAGTCCTAAGCTTCTAATACCATTAATGTTTGGTAACTTAAAACCAATTACTTCACTTGAGAATACCATACTTAAGGACATGAATTAGTAATTGCCATTTGGCTTCCCTGTAATTTTTAAGCTCATTTGATAATTTATGAAAATAAATGCATCTTAAGACATAATTCCTGACCATTCACTTTTCATACTGAAACAAATCCCAAGTATAACTATTCATGTAGGTGCCTGTCACTACGCGTATTTCAAGCACTGGTACCTGCTGTCACCCTGTCTGATAAGCAGTGAATTCCAGTATCCACTTTGATGACCCAACATGAATGATGCGCTTAGGCCCCAATCGTAACTGATTATCCCACAACTATTTAATTTTTTTTTTTAAAAAACTACTTATAGACATTTGGTGATTCTACTATAATTCAGTTTTTATATTTAGAAAATTACTTTTCAAGTTTCAAGATGATTTGGGTTGGTTTATAAAGGAGTATATGACAGATAAGGTAGCACAGAAAGCAGTCTGTTTGCCCAATTTTAATCAGAAAATAAATATCACTGAAACATAAAATTTTTTATTAAGCTTAAGAGTAGTAAGAGAAATGGCATGTGATAAAATTAAAATATCTATAAAAATCTGTTATTAACATTTAATATTCCAAAGCATATTGCTGTTAATTTAAAAAATCATATTGTATGTGTATATTTTAAACATGCTTCTATTAGACATTCAAAATCCTTGAAATGGGGATAGTGAGACTATTATGTAAAAATACAGGATACATTATACCAGTGGATATGGAGCCAGAAACAAAATAACATATGAGTACTTCTTAAAATATGCAATGTGGAAAACAAATTACTCCACAATTATTCCACAGTTATGTACCTTGCTTGAAAATAAAATACTATTCTCTTGTGCTACCGAATAGAAAATGTTTTTGGATGGGGTTAAAAGGTATGTGTAGGCATAATGACATTTTACAATTTTAAATGTTACAATGCTCTTTGGAAATAGAGTTTCAGACACTCCCCACCAAAAACACTTTGACAAGGATAGTATCTATAAGCAGACAAAAAAGTCTGCCCAAAAACCGTCTTGCTGTTTTACTTTGCAACAAATTAAAATCTGTGTAAGTTCTGCAATACATTTTTTATAGATTTACACTATGCAAAAATATTTACTTTGAGAAAAAAACCCTCTGGATATTGAGACCAAGTGACATGTTATTTGCATTTGAATATATATGATACACAGAATCCAATAAAGATTACCAACATAAATACTTTTATCTTGCAGAAAAGGTTGGTGGATGTTGTGGATTCTAACTACAGTTTCTCTCCTGTCTGTGAACTTCAAAATTCTAAAAATAGGATGATTCTTTCATTGGAACAAAACTATTTTTAATCATTATTTCTTTTCAGTTCCACCCCTTTTTGAAATTGTTCCTTTACCTAATCATCATTGGCCCTTTTTTAGGAATCCACTTTTTAAAAACGTTAACATCTTTTTTATAGGCTGTTCTCTATTTTAGGTATATTTTTTGTCTCTTGGCAATTTTTACAGTTGGCTTTTAAACTTATTGAGAGCAGAGTTTCTGTGAGTTTGCTTTGATATATCCCATGGGGTCAAGTGCAATGCCAATCCTCAGATAAGTCTTTCAATGAAAGTGTTCTGAATTGACTCAGCTTTAAAACTGGTCACAAATTGCCACAGAAGCATTTCTGAATGGAGATTTACATTTAACTTCCAATAAATTAACTATGATAGGGGAAATATTGGTTAATAATGTAGCATAGTTTGACTCTCTATAAAAACAGAATTGTTGTAGTTTGGAAGAGAGGTGGAGGAAGTACCTGGCTAAGAACTGCATCTAGTCAGAGTTCTGTCAGTGACTAGCCCTGTGAAGTTTGTCAAGTAACCAACCTGCCTTTATAAAGGGTAAATTGGAGATACTATTTACTAGACTGGCATCATAGAATTATTGCTGCAGTTACATGAAATATATGAACTAGCACTTCGAGTACTATAAAGTATCCTAAAATTATACAATATGATCATGATATGTATGACTTTACCATGAAACAGAGAAAAACATAACAGTAGTTGTTTTAAGATCCTAAGCCACTGCCTTAGTTATTAGAATGGAAAAGAATTTCTTTTGAAAAATTAGAACATGGAAACTCTATTTTAAAAAATAATCTTTACTAATGCTTGTACTCTGAAACAAACACCATTACAACCAAATTAATAATTGGGGCTGCCTGGGAACTTAGTATATACATTAACTGGGGTTAATACAAAGTGTGTATGCTCTTTCAAGTCTTATGTTGAAGGCTTTGCCATGCTGTCTCATTTAATCCTCAGTACAAGCCCTTTAAAGGTGGGCAATAGTCTTATGCTCACTTTGTAGGTGAGGAAATCGTGGTTTACAGAGGGTGAGATGTCTGATGTAACCCACATCAACAAGCACAGAACCAGACCTGAATCCACATTTGTCTTTATTCAGCATCAATGTCCTTTTCCTCTTTTCTGTCCTGGAAACACTGTCAGTTAAAATTCGATCAATTTTAGAGCAATCCAAATCCATGAGGAAGAAAATTAAATGCTAAGAACCACATTGTTTAATTTCAAATTGGACTGAAAATGCCCATGGCATGACACTGATCTTTAGCAATATTGAAGGAGACTTCTAGCATTTTTGCACATAAAGAACTTTTTAAATTCCATTCAACAATGAAAAATAAATACCAAAATAAATTTGTTTAATGATTATTGAGTCATTATGACACACCTGTGGCAATGCATAAACTTTCCAAATACACAATTTATGTTATAATGTCAGGATTTTGTTCTCCAATATAACATTTGAATTATGATAACTTTCATTTTGAAAAAATAATGCTCCTCCACTGGAAAATCATTCTGGCTTCCCAGACTCTCATTTGTTGACAATATACAAGATGTTTTCTTCTTGAAAAATTATGGGATAATTACCATTGTAGAAGTCAAAAAATATCAAGTCATTTATAACTAGTTGGACTAATAGAGAAACATACTGTCATGTTAAAATATGCAATTCCAGTTTAGTACTCTTAGGTTATTTGTTTAGTAGAATATTTATAATCATTGTAACATTTTTTTAAAAAAAACATTAGAACATTTGCTTAGCAGGTATAAGGCTCTGGTTTCCATTCCTAGCACTGACAAAAGAAAAAAGGGGAGAGGGGAGACATGTTTATTGTATTTTTAGACTTGTAAGCTATAATTGTCCAGTGTCTTAAAATAAGCTTATAAAAATAGTCTGGTCTTAACTGCACATTTTTTTGCTGGAAAGTCCTGAGTAGTACATAAATATCATTGACAATCTCATATACCATAATATTCTTTTAGTCCTTCTTTCTTGTAGAATCTCCTAATGGAAGAAGACATTGTATTTCATCTGATTCTATAGACCTCATGTACGTCTCTCATCAATGTAGTGAGAACTGTAAGTTAGTCACTAAGTAAAACTAGAATCATTTGACCCTGCCCATGAAATCTCTTCCTTATTGACTCTTCAGAGTTTATCATACAAAATGATCCAGCAGATCATAGCTGAAAAAGGAGAAGCAAGAAATTTTAATACCCAGTCTGTACTAATGGCATACTTGGAGGGGGAAGATGTTTTAAAACAAACTTCTTCTTTGGATTATGACATTTTAATTAAAAGTATTGCCAGCTCTGTTGGCTCTTTTAATGGACCTTG